TCGAGCGCCAGTTTCTGCCTTTGAAAACACCTTGTAGCACGCGCTGCCAAAGCCTAGCAGAAGGCTACGAGCTCGTGCTGAAGTTGGAGCAGCTACCAAGCTCTTATGACCTGTCATCGACTATTGACAACGTGCGCGATCGAACGCGTCGCAGTGGTTGGCCTTCCACGATTGGCCGTATGCTCTCAGCTAAGGATTTCTTATCAGCGGAATTAAGAGCAATGTAAGAACTTAAATTTTGTCGGTGTTGGCACTGTCGGTTTCAGAGCGCAATGATTTCGAGCTTCCACCATGCTAATTACAAACACCATCGAGCTTGTTGTTCAGAAGGTAATGACGTCACGAGAGGGAACATAGTAGGCCGTAACCACGGCGGCCGTAACCAAAACACCGCGCCGCTAATAATCCTATACATCTCCTAGGGTTCTACAGGGCCGCTCGGAAAGATAAGGGAGAGAAGAGGCGGGGGCTTTTCAAAAATCAGATATTTGCGAATTTAGCCTAACTGGGTCGGTGCGCTCGTATGTTTTTTTTCTGCCAGAAGAATTTACCTCGAGATCGGACCGTGTCGCCTCCGTGCGGCAGAAATGGGAAACGTGCGTAAACGGGGACACCGCTGTGCGTCGTCTGCTATGGGCGCACATTCAGAAGCATGGATTTCGACGACGAAAGTCCGTTTCCGGCTGAGCTGACCTCTCCTTATTAAACACTTTTTGTTTTTGTTGTTCCTACTTACTAAAGATTATGTTGTATCGCTTCACACGTGTGGAAATTCAGCAAACGATTTATGTTAAGTCGGATGCTCCCATAATCTTAGTGCTGCGGTTTGTAGAACCTTTGTCTTGCATAATTTTCATCTTTCACACAATCCATAGCGTTTGTAAAAAGTTGAATCTCGATTGGAGCTGGCGGTTTATTAAAAAATAAATTTGACTGATCAACACCCTTCAATTGACTAATCAATCAATAAATTCGTTAATTGATTCTTTTCCAGTCATACTACATGAAATACGTTAAAACCACGCGTTCTTTTACTATTTTTACTATGCCATAAATGGCATTTTGCATTTACATTTTAAACTTCAGGTTGTGACGCCTCTAGAAATATGCATACGGGAAGCCATTAAAAGTGAAGGAATCTTTAAGTTATTATTTAGACAGTATAATGACCCTCCATGGCGTTCACAAGCATGCTGAAGTGGTTTACCGTGCAAGTCTGTCCTAAAAGAAATAAGCATGTCAGAAATAATACAACAGTCCGTTTTTTTTCTCCTTTTTTCAGACTTTCTTCGGCACAAGAGTCTGATTAAACTGGAAAAAATATTGTGATTAAAACATCACTCTAATAATATGAAGGTTGATAGTTGAACTGCCCAGTGCCGATATGCGTTAGGTGAGGGCGGAAGGTGATCGGTAAGTCTCCTGAGAGTCGCTAGTCCTCATCAGTAAAATAGTGGCGCTGCGGCCGATGCTGTCTGTATCGTGTTGCGGGTCATTTATTGAAGTTGCAGAGTCTAGTATGTTTGAATAGAAGATTATTTAGTCATCAATTTATAATATTAGCCTCTTGACATCCGCGGCCCTCACCGAGAAAATTAAAGGGGGAAAACCCAAACTACCAAGAAAAGCACGGTACTGCGTTGCTCGGTTACACTCGTTTGTTCCACTCGCGGCAGACATATTACAATAGGATGTTTCACTTGTTTAAGTTGTCGTGTTAACGAACATATTCCGGATCGTAACTAGAAGACGCACACTCTCCTCATCCCAACAAAGTAGAATTGTTCCGACTCCGGAAAACTTACCCACACAATGGCGCAGTAAAAGGAAACAATGGCTGCAGCGGAACTCAATAGCATGGCAATTTCTAATACAGCACTAGCTTATTTTCGTGCGAAGTACCGTATTTCCCGGGGCATAGTCAGCAGGGGCAAATTTGGGGTCAAAAATAAAAATATTTGCTTAGATAGTCCGCACCCGGTACATAATCCGCACCGCCTGCATAGTCCACATTTAGGGCCTAGTCCGAAAGTAAAAAGTATAAAACACAGCACACTTTGAAAAATGTCCTCTATTAGTTCACAAAGAAGCTTTATCGTACATAAATCAACATGAATATGGCCTGTTACTCATAAGATATTTCGCGTCTTGCCACAGTGAACAATCGAGAAAAAAACAAATAATTTTATAGGCCACACCTGTAGATTGTCCGCATCGGGTGAACTTTCAACTTTTAAACGTGTATAGTCCGCGCACTATAGTCCGGAAAATCCGGAATTTATATTAGGAAGTTTTAGTAGACTGTGTTTTCCCCTCCGCTAGCCCTCCGCTACAAAGAAACCGCCACTGCGCCTGCGCGCTGATGGCTTTGGCTGCAGAGTTCCGGGTAGCGGAGGGGCTTAGCGGAGGGGGAAACACGGTCTACTAAAACTCCCTACTACTGCAAAAGCTAAAAGTTAAAAAAATGCATAGAACCTGCGATTTCACAGCCCACAGTACCAGTATTATGGGTTGGAATTCATTGTTTTGTTGAATTCTCACGCACTGTACTGCGTGCGGTATATCTATTTGAAAAAAAAATATATTTAACATAAGAGCAGTTAAACCGTGAGACAGACATCCGTCGTGGTGATCCATGCTTCCCAACGTCTGCCTAGAGTGGACGACGCATCCAGATGAGCGGTAATTTATTTTTAGGCCGTACGCTGGTAATACGATTCGATCTTTACCGAAGCACCGAACAGTAAAGCACCATTTTCCGCTAAAATGTTTTCTCACCGATACTATACGACAAAATAAACGCAGGAATCTACACCGTCTCGCACGTGAACTTGGATACCTTATACGGGGCGGCAAGGAGATTAGAAAGGTAGGCGTCAGCCGCGTAGCCTCCACAAGCCATGCTCCCTTGACGCACCGCCTCTTTCTCATTTTCCTCCTTAAACTCCTCACTTATCGGCGCAGCAAGTGACCGTCGCATGGTTGATGATTGCGGGTAGCAGGGGGCGTGGTGCTGGTGGGTTTCATTTATCAGTCATCACAGCTAGAAACTGTGGCCCGCGCCCAGCCGACCAACTCTAGGCCTGCTGCGCTTCGTTATGCCTTCTGTTTTCTACAGACCGTTACCATGCTGAAAGCGATAGTATTCAACGTGGAACGTCAGCGCTGTAACGAAGTCTGTTGGAGTGTTTTGGGTAATGTACCGTGCATCTGCGGGGAGTGTTCCTTTATATTCTGGCCACTAATTTCTGCTGTAGCCAAAGCAAGCATAAATTATATACACACATTATTGTGTGAATCTGTCGACCCGACAGATTGGACCAATACTTACGCATTTTTACGGCGATGATTTCCGCGCTCGCCTGCAAATTATAGCTGCGCTCTCGTCGCTCTCATATGTTATATCAGGCTACAATATGTTCGACTTTTTCTTTTCGTTGCGGCGGCTATGCAGGGACGTTTTATTGCGGTCGTGACAAATTGAACCAACTCAACTTGACTCGAGGTTGAGAGATGTTTTATTTACAATTAGAAGTGCACGGAGCACACCACGCTCCACTTCGATGCGGTCCGGCCACCGCTGCGACCAACGGACGAAATCCATTGTTTCCACAGTTCGGCGATCGTCGGAAATTTAAAAGAATTTTTGATCGATTCTTGTTATCGTAAAACTATGCGTGTGTAATACGTCAAGGGCTTACCAGTGAAAGGTAACCCCCGCTGAAGAAAACCTAGTTCGATTGCGGCAGTCGACCACGCTGCAAGCGCCCATCCCGTAGCCGGAGGAAATTAGCGCCCCGGACACCGTGGTCCCCGCGACGCCAGGCTTTCGTTTTCCCCGTTGTGGTGATTGCCCTGATCGTCCCGTGTACCAGCACCTGTGTGTCGTCTGCTCGTGACCCGCCTAAACATCGCTTGCACCTTTGCCTTTAACTGCATTATAATCTCAACCGCTTGCTTCCTTGCTTCATGCGTAGCATTCGATCTGATTAAACCTACCGGACGAGCGCAACCCAAGCCTGCAAGGAATCCTACGATCAGCCATCCATCTCGCACTTGACATGTCACGCGCACCAATTAGAAGAGAGATCTGCGGTCACTTTGGGCACAATATCGTTTAAACTTTTTATGACTAGGCTCCACATATACTGCGACTTGCCCCCTCCTAGTATTTATAACTCCGTGTAGGGCGGCCACGCTTCTATTTCCACTTTGATGATGATGATAGCGCGACACTAGCGCCACGTCTAGGTCAATATCGAGGCCAATAGAAGTCGATTAAAAAGAGCCGACGAGCCCACCGGTCCTCGTGGCTCAAATCGTCAACATATCGGCCATCAGTGACCCGAGTAAAAGTACGTATCTCACCGTCTGTTGACTTCAAACTTCTGCGGCCGCTCGATACCCATCGCCACGGCGAAATCGTTCAAAGTTAAACTACAAAAACTTTGTCTCTGTCATTGTGCTGTCTTATAATTTTATATACAAATCACCCCTCAGATAGCAAGTGATCATAATCTTAAATGTTTTCGAAGCAGAAGAACGCTCAAGCTTTTTTCCCGATTCTTAGTCAAGACAATTAAAGCCTGCACCCATGAGTTGCCGTAAGTACGTTCCCCGAAGCATGGTCTGCCCTCGGGCGCAGGTATGAAAGCGCCATCTACTGTCTCCCCACCGCCCTGGTGAACACTGAGGAAAAGATCGGAAATCTTTAAAATCCCTCAAAGTACTTTGCTCGCCATAACATCGACGACATTTCAGGATATTATATGGCCGAGTGATAATTCCCTCATAGACAAATATCAGGACTTTGTATTGTGTTTCGCAAGTAAGCGGAGGTGCTTACTTATGCGTAAACAAGATTTTTATTTTTAGTTTTGCCAGAGGGCATTTTTTAATAAATTGAGAAACCGAGAACGGAAAAAAACACTTTTAAATTCTTTCAGTTCTTTTTTTCTTGCTTCTTTGTTTTGCTTAAAATCACGATATCGACACTTGTAGGCATCATAGAAATGCTCTTTATTTGAAACATCAGCGCCAGCATTCATCCTAGCAAAAAGTAAAACCATACAACATATTGCCGTCACCTTGCGAAACCGGGTCTTGGTGAACAAGATTCGGTTCTCTGTGCTAAGCATCTGTTCAATGGTAACAGTAACGAGTGTAAATATGGCGGAGCTTCGCTAGCTCGCTTCACCGGTAAATTTTAGTATAGTCAGTGACAGCTTAAGAAAACATAGGGTGCATACACCCTATGTTTAAGGTGTACACAGCCTGCGTAAACATAGCGTGCATAGCGAGTCCTGTGCATCTTATTATTACTCCGCCGCCAATCAGATAGCGGCATTAGTCTATAAAACGCCGAAGGCCCAATCACAACGCAAGATGCGTAGACAAAATGGACCACGCTTTGCGTTTCCTAAGTGGACAGTGACTATAGTTACAAAAAAAAAGTAATCTGCTCTCATTTGCCCAGGTCTCCGAAAAGCTTCGATTTGCCGAGGGGTCCAGGAATGGGGATCACTGGCTTTTTTGTCGTGGGTGCCGCTTCCTGGGACTCGTCGTACACTGGTTCCTCCGTCGCGTCGGGGCTGATGTCGCTGTCTTCGATGAGGTTCCAAGTGTCCGGTTCTTCCTCCCAGACGGGCTCCTCTTCGGGTTCTTCGGTGGTGACCGGAACCGCGGGGTTGGGGTTCTGGGCCCCCGTTTCCGGTCCCTTCACGGGAGTCATGGGAGGCGCTTGGGTCGGCTGGCTCTTCTTCCTGTTCATGTAGTCCTTGGCAAAGTTAGGAGGCGAGAAGGTTTGCCACTTTTTGGGCTCCGATTCGTCGAGCCGGTATTCCTTGCATTTTTCGGTAACCAGCGGGATGTAGAACCTGCAACAGTATTTACATCTCTTTAAAGGGTCACGTGATTATCACCGACCGATATTGTGGCATTTCTAACGCAGTTTCGACTGGAGCGACGGCTGCCTCGATTAAGTCCAGGCCGCAGAACTTGGCAACCGTCTTTTAGCGTCTCCGTAATGCCAACAAGTTACGTTAAACAACGAGGTCGGTGAAAAATACTGCAGTTTTACGCCGGTTGCATAAGCAGCGGCACACAATTTGAATAGATGCATGCATCGCTTTTGCGGTGGCGCCCGAGCCGCCCATACGGATGAATATACTGCTGCGGAGCGAAGTACAGCAGAACCAGGCTCCTTCCGTAATCATCGGCGCTACAGTGCTATGTTTATAATTTATAGGCGATATGCTGCCTTTCCCAGTATCTATGCTATTAGACGCAATCGATTGGCGGATGCAGTGGCACGGTTAGTACACCGCTCATAGATGCGTTCATGGCACCATCCCAGTGCCAGACATGCGTGGTTCTGCGTATAACGCCATCTTTCATGGATTTGCGTCCCGAATCAAAATTGAACTTGGCCGATGCAGCAAAAGACATGCGCTTTTGCAGCACAGTCCGCTTCTGCAGCACGGCGTCATTGCGTGGAAATATAGTCAAAAACGGCCTTTTATTTCTGGCTTTTTGTTCCGGTGACTCGCACCTTTCGAGACCTTAAAATATTATTTTCACTAGTATAACTACAATCGCTTCGGGGTTTATTTTTGAGAGGAAATGTGTAGTCTGCGTTTGCCGTGCGAAGACCAAACTCCACAATAAAAAAAACAAGACTGGATGTAATACAAAATGAACACACAAGCACACACACACACGGCTTTAAAAAGTTTTCAATTATACAGGTTAAAACAAGGAGACGCCAGGCTCTTTAAATCGACCAGAAAATTCGGTTTCTTAACCTATCGCGCTACGACTTTGTGAGCGTTGCCCACAGATGGTACATTTTTTTTTTTGTTAAATTTGCAAAAAGCGAACTTACCTGAGGAAAAATTAAAGAAAGAAAAAGGCTTAGCTCCTATGGAAACGCAGCGACGCCACCGGTCTTCAAACAACACGGCGCCGTTTCGCAAGGGACACAAGAGATGGCGCAAGGGGTCGCGACGCCAACTGCCGCCAACGAACGTGCAGACGACGCGAGAGCCGAACCTTTTGCAGACAAGGAACTGCAGTTCCTTGCTGTTACCGCGCCTGTCTTTTTTGTTTCTCCGGCTGCCACCGCCTGCGGAACGCGCGCCGCTTTTGAGTCGAAAAGATCGTCTGCTAAAAAGGCCTGCTCTCGGCGCCGTATGCTCGCTCGTTGGCGGCGTTTGTTGCGCCATCTATTGTCTCCCGTGCGAAACGGCGCCGTGTTGTTTGCAGACCGGTGGCGTCGCTGCTCTTCCATAGGAGCTAAGCCTTTTCTTTCTTTACTTTTTCCTCAGGTAAGTTCGCTCTTCGCAAATTTTACAAAAAAGAAAAAAAAATGCACCATCTGTGGGCAGTGCTGCACTAAGTCGTAGCGCGATAGGTTAAGAAACCGAATTTTCCGGTCGATTTAAAGAGCCTGGCGTCTCGTTGTTTCACCCTGTCGAGTTAATTAACAAGCTCGCCGGCGTATTTTCCATTGCATCATTAAGAAGCCCGCTCTCACGTTTTTGCTGCACAGTTAACTGTATTTACATTCTTTTTGTTCGGAAAATACAGGGAGCTCATGTAGAAGCCAATATCTTGGGTCGTTGTACTAATAACGGCCATAATAAGAGCAGCCATTGAGATATAGGAAAGTTTCAATAAAACATGGAGACCAGGGATGCCACCAATTAACTCCGGAGTTATTTGCATAATAATCTGAGTCTTTTAAAACATATTTCTTCGAATTATGCACTTCGCTGAAAAAAGTAAATTTCTGAACTCTGTTCAGGACTGAAGAATGGCTCTCGTGCCTCTGCAGACACGATACTTACTGGTTATTGTTTACGCATTTCTTGGGATAGGCGTAGTCGAAGCACTTGGTGCGAAGAACATTAAAAAACAGTTTTCCGACAGCAGCAGATGGAAGGCTGCTGTCATTTAACAAGCAGTTGTAGAACTTGCGGTCGTCCTTGCAATTCGTCCTGGACGACAAAAAAAAAAAAGAACAACATCAGGGATTAGTGCATATTTTCTGATTTCTATTCAGATGGCAGTCGTAGTAAAGTTAGCGCATATTGAAAGAAGACAATTTTGACCGAGCCTAATGCTTGTGGGTGCCTGCAAAACTGCGCGTTGTGACCCTTGAGGCATTTCTGCTTCACTTAAGTCAAGGTCTAGATGAGGCTACTATCTCATGGATCCAATCAAGTAGTGTCAAAAGCGCAATGTCAGAAAGATCGGCTTCTATCTTAGCGTGCGTTAACAGCGGCTAAACCAACCAGGCGCTATAAATCCCGCCTCCACTCATAAACTAGCGTTTTTACTCTATCTGCTGCCTGTTTGTATACGTACTTTGCCCTTTAAAGCTCCCTGTAGACTTATGATGAAGGAGAGTACAGTGCTCATCAAACCTATACGGAATGTGCAAACTCTATCTTATCTCCTGGCAGCGCTATCCTGTCATTAGAAGAATAACAACTCCATCACATAGTGATCAATAAATGAGCCCGAGTAAAGGAGCTAGGCTGCTTGCTAACGGCAACAAATGCGGCTGAACCGGGTACAACTCAGCAATTTCGTCTGCCAGGCGACATACACTGTCAACCGCGCACGTCGCACTAGAGTGCATAGGTGACTGTCAAAATCGTCAGCTATTAAAAAGCTCCTTCAATAAAAAAAACATAAAGCGCCTTAGTGTTTGAGTTATCTAATCATTCACAGTTTCAACAGTCAAATGTGCACCTTCACGCTGGGAGGTGGTGGCAAGCGTAAATTGGCAACCAGGCATAATGCATACTTTTCGCGTAATGAGCGTCGTCTAGGGAGCTGTCTCTGAACTACAAAGGAAGGGCACTCCAACATTCCCCCACCCGTGAAAAGGCATTGGCCTCGTGCCGTTGTATTGGCTTTGATTGGTATTAAATGCAAAGCAATTTCTTTCTGGAGACTCCCCCCCCCCCCCCTCTCCCACGGGGAAATCCTGATCTGCAACAAGAAATGAATGCGAATGCACGTGATAGTAGTAAGTGGATAAGTTGAGAAAAAGGAACAAAACTCCGAAAGTCTCCCAAGGGCAATTGAACCCAGGACTTGAGATTCTGAGCCGGAGTCTTAACTGTTGCACAAACCGGAGGAATTGTGAAGCGGTAATTATTAAATTAAAAAAAAAAAAAAAAAGATTTCATTTACCAGCCGACACCGCGAAACGGGCGGGTGGCGCCAGCGGGCAGGTCCAACTTTCGCTCACATTACACGAGGGTTCGTACAGCCGAGCTGCAATCAAACGCAAGGAGTTTGCGTTGATGTTCGCCATTGTGCAAAGATTACGCAGCTTCCAACAGAGGGAACAAATTCAAAAAGGTCACAATACATAGTACGTTTGACAAATATCTGAAATACAATTCAGGAACTAACGAAGATATATGGAAAGAAAGGGAACTTCTCGGACCTGAGTGTTAGGGGTGACAAGTCTTGAGTAACGGCGTTTAACGCCAAAAAGGGGGAAAGCCTGAATATGCAAGACATTGCGATAGACCACGTAGAAAAAAGCAAACATCTGGAGGTACGACTCAATGAAAAAAGGAATTATTTATGGGTAGTTAGAAGGAAATATAATTAGGAAAGGGAAAATAGATTCATGCAATTATGAAACTCAAGGCCCTGTGGAATTGTAATTGACATGAAGTGGCAGGGTACGTGCAAAGGAGTGATGATGCTTGGACTATTTTTGGCTATAGGGCACTGTGCATAAAATCGTCGGTTCAATTGGGATTTTAAGTTCGACCTTCGGGCATAGATATATACAGATTGGCACTGGGAGCGTATAAGAAAAGTCCAAATGAGGCACAGAGGCTGGTCTAAGGGGGCACATACGCTGGTCGTTCTTTGGGATCAGAGAAGAAATATGCCAATCGAAATTTAAACAAATGTTAGCTGAAATTAAGGTAGGCACCAAAAGTACACGAGAAATTATACATTGAAGTATATAAACACACAATTAACAAATTATACCTCAAAGCTGTCATTTAAATACAGACAGACTAGTGATGAGGCTGAGGAGAATAGTTAAGTGAAAAATGATGTAAAAGAAGCAGACCGCAAAATGAGGGAAGGAAGAATGCGTGAGATATCAGTTGTACCAGTGGACAAGTCACAACAGAAAAATGACATTGGAAAAAAACAGGCGTTATATAATCTATCGGGAAGCTCTTTCCTGTTTGAGGCGAGAGCGGAAGTGTTACGAACAAAAACATTTAGGACTAAATTTAAAAAAAAAAAAAAAATAGGGATCTATTTTCCGGGTGCCATGCTGACTGTGAGCAGCTAGAACATGTGGTTTTGAAGCGCACGTTGGTTCGACATGCCTTTTCTCAAATATAACTAACCTTGCGGGTGCGCTTGGGTTTGCTGGCGTGGATGGAACAACGGGAAAAGAAAAAAGTTGCCATCACAAACGAAGGCATGAAAATTGTTGGTGAACGTTTAGAGAAGCGCGGTGGAGTAGGTGGTTTAACGATATAAAAAAAAATGTATAACGAGGTTTAAAGCGGAGTGGTGTAAATGTTTCTAGGCCAGGTGGCGCAAGCTACCGACCGATATAAAGGGTGTATCCAATACCGTCTATCTATCCATCTCTTCTACTTTTGAAGGTATTCACTCGCTGAAAGTGTTTTAGTCGTCCTTGCACTGCCTCACGCAAAGAAGGAACGACTTGAGCAGGGCATCGCTGAACAGAAGTGTCGTCTCACTGAAGCTCAGCATGTTCGGCATGCCAAGGAGACGCCGGAAAAGAGTGGATAGCGTCTAGCTGGGGACAAAAAAAGCGAGGTGGGTTTGCTGTACCACGACCACGGGCTGAGCCAGGGAACGACGTTTGTCTCAATTTAATCAGCGGAATATGACCTTCGTACATTTCGACAGCAAAGCACCAGAGAAACAACCCCGTCTTGTGTGCTTTATACTACCTATATTAGAAAACAAATAATCAAACTATACGAAATACGCACAAAAATAGGCACTGAAAATACTGGTTGTGCGGGACGATGCCCACCGAAACAGCGAAAGTTGGAAGCAAGGCGAAAGAAGGGGTTGTACGCCTGCAGGAGCTTATCGGAAAAAAGGTTGCTTGCTTCGGTGTCCACGGTTCTGCCGTGATTTCAAACTTGAGCTGGCTGTTTAATCGAACATACGCCATGGAGCAGTTCTTCACCCGCTGCCAGGATAGCGCTTCCATAAAATAAGACACCGTTCACGTGTTCAGATTGGTGATCTTTCTGCAGCACGATGATTGAAAGTGCATAAGGCTTTGATTAAGTATGACTCTCCTACATTCGGTGTGACCGCTTTAGGGCTCCAACCGTATATCCAAGCTAGACTACGCAAGAATCTGCGCCGGTGGAAACGAATAAAAACTAAACGTTTGCCCCCCGGTGTTTCTTACATTGTGTAGAGGTTTGTGTTGGTGATGCCGTGCTTGGACTTCAGTGCCTCGATGCTCTCTCCCGAGTGGTCGTGTTCTCGGCAGCACATGTCCGTCGCCTTGTTCACTCCCAGGTCGTCGTAGTTCTTGGCCACGTCTCCGGCTCCGCACCACTTGGTACCTGCAATCGATTACGAAGGTCATCAGCCGAATCTGGGGTATCTGACAAAACCATCTTTTAACGCGCTAACTTATGGGGCTAACCAACCTCAGGAACCACGTAAGCACAGAACCTGTAGGTCCGTCAGTCCGTAATCGCTAAACGATCTGGAAGAAAAAACGGCACTCGGTGCCAGGGATCGAACTCCAGTCACCGGCGTGGGAATCCGAGTGCGGTGCTGACTAAGGTACGGACCCAGCACGCAGGAACGGGAGGAGTAGACGCAGGATGTGCGAGAAAGCGTGGGGAACCGAGAGAAGAAGAAAGGGAAAGACAGAGAGGAGCGGATTCAGCTGGTGTAGAAATAGCGCGCGGAACAAGGAGGAGTCGAAATTGAGGACAGTGCGCTTCCCTGTGTTGGTGACCCAAAAATCTCCCGCACAGGCTTTGTATCCGGGTGGCGCCAACGACAAGCGCTAGCTGCATCACGAAAAGACAGTTGTGTGACGTAATCTGTTTCCTTACAAAAGCCTGCCTTAGGTACCGCCTCAACTAAGAGCACCACCAACCCCAGCACTGAAAGGCTCGGGGTCATCCTGCTTCTTGCCTTAGGCACCTCCCGAACTAGGAGCAAAACCCACCCTATAAAGCTGCCACATTTAAAGAAACACTAACACCCCCCCAAAAAAAAATTTTTTTTTCCATTTTTTGCCAGCCGATTTGTTATGGTGTCAGAAACTGGCCAATTAATATTTTCCCACAGAGTTACATATATTTTTAATAAAGCAAAAAAAACGCAACTGCTCGAAATCGAAACCAAAACCTCCGCACGGCGGTCGGAGAGGAGAGAGAAAAATGGCGGAAGTCACGTAGCTACACCCAACCGTGCGCATTTGTTTTTTTTTCTTTTTCGCGTGCAGCAGACGAAATGCGTTTCGGGAACCGTTTGCCGTGCGATTCCTTTGCAGTTTTGTTTGTTCCGCTCTCTGTTCTGTACTTCAAGATGAATTGTTTTGTACATTGAAGATGGAGATGGGAGTAGTGAGTGCCCGTGGTGAATTCTCATGATCGGCTCCAAATGAATACCCTCAAGATGTTGCGTGAACATTTCCTGCATCTGAAAGTGGCATTGTGCGGCAGAGGCTGCACAAGTTTCCGAAAGATAAACGGGATCAGGACCAATGGCTGGCTGCAATTCCTGTAGAACAGTTACGGGCACCTCGGAAAGCGGACGCTATTCGAATCGTATGCTGCTTGCATTTTGTGGAAAGTGACTACATTGAGTACGCCGGTGTCAAAAAGGGAATCCCATACCATGTAGTTCCGTGACGTATTGTCCAAAAATTTTTTTTTTCAGTGCTAATTCTAATAAAAGATATGTAACTGATCCCGGGCCCCTTCTCGCAGTGGGCCAGGGATTGAACCCGGGACCGCTGCGTGTGAAGCAGACGTCTTTTCCATTGAGCTACAGGGGGAACTGCTCGTGGTAATACAGCTGGTCTACTGTACGTCTGTACGTCGGAAAGTTTGCTGTCGATTCCCCTCCAGCAGAGGTACTCCCCGCTCAAAGTCAGGCATTGCCACTCATTGGCGACATTCGCAACTAGTAAAGAAATGGTACGCGTGCATATTTAACTCGAAGTACGCACTTCGTGCTTGACGTTTGCGCGATCGATGTCTTCAGCCACGAGAAGGGGCGGCGGCTCGGCGACGTTTTCTTGTAATCGGCTTGGTGGTCGGGCGTGTCGTACGGGACAAATACCAATTCTTTTGATCGGTCAAAAATTTCTCTTTCGAAAAAAGACAGAATTCACCGGTACCACGAACGACAGTTCTGAAGTAGAGGTCCCACGCCCGTCATCCGCTGCCATCCGCGACTTCCACGATACGCGAAACGACGCCATGGTGAGAATTACGCAGTGAGCGCACATAATGCTTCCGGTTGTCTGTGTAACTTTTTTGTGTTCAATCAACGTATTTGCAGCTTTTTGGAAGCAACAAAAAAATGGTCTTCATATTATTTTTATATTTTTAATATCGACTGTGTGCCTTCAATGACCCACGACTTTGATTAAATTTGGTGGTCGTGTCTAAACCTTAAAAAACGGCCCGTGACCACAGAAAAGAAAGTGAGCGCGACTCAAACCGGCCAGTTTTTGAACGGTGGTTTTCGGGAAGAATGAAACCGAATTTCGAGCCGCAAATTCTGTTCTGAGTAGCTGGGCTCTCACATGTCACGTACAACTAAAAACCTCGGCGAGCATAAATACCCTGTCAGTGTCCCTTTAAAAACGTTTGACTGCATGCCCTCACATGCAGCAACTTTCCTTGTTTTACAAAAAGACGACTTCACCATTGGAGTAACTCTGTTGCGTGTCAGTGGGCGCCTGATGACTCCGCGTAGACGAGAAATTGAGCCTGTGCAGTGCAAATGCTAGCCTGAAATATTTAATGTGCATCACGCAGTAGTGATACACAAACGTATGCCGGTACGATGATCTCCAACGTTGACGGTTGAAAAAATCACCAGACTTAGAGGCTAATCAAATACAATAAAGGTGCACTAGCACTTTATGGGCTTGTTAACGACCGGTACTTTGAAAGGCATCCGCGCTTACTAAGTTATTCAACTGATACGGAGATACTACTGATACTACTGAAAAAAATTTAGGCGCATCACTTATTTCCTACTCTTATTCAGCGCGGCACAACGCAATTGGTCGCATTTGCTATGACGTCAAAACACTCGCTCCGTGCGCCTTGCTACGGTACGACCGACAGAGTCACGAGGAATCGACGTCCGTGTGGGGTTTCTTTATAAAGCCATCGCTTTAAAAGCGCCGAGGAGACGCTCCGTCGGGTTCATCCCGTGTGCAGGGGCAGCGCACCCACCGGGGAATATGAAGAGGCTCTTGAAGATGTCGCCGATGAATTCAAAGAAGGATTTTAGGCCTCCCTTTTTGGCATTGGGGTCCCTGTTGTGACACAGGTCCAGGAAATACTGCATCTCTTCTGGCGTCACTTTCGTGAGGAGGCTTTCGGGAATCACCGCCAGAGCACTCTCGATGAGAACCCTGGAAAGAAATGGTCGTGTAACTCAGAAGGGTTTGGATTTGGGCAAGTTGGTTGAACATATTTAGGGGTTAATAGCGCTTAAAACGACGGACGAGTTGGAGAGACACACATCACAAAGCGCTACTTGCAACTGGTTCAATGTTGGAAAAACACACGTACCGCGAAACCAACAAGACACACATCCGATTCAGCTCCAACCGCCGCTTATCACATTTCGTACTCTTACACCGTGCATGATCGTAAAAACGATAACTCCGATTCAAACAGGGCTATCGATGGGGCACTTACACATGTACCTTCGTCACACTCGGAAATAAAAAAACTCTTCCGTTATCTCCCTTGTCTTTCTATTTTGTGCTAGAATACAACATAGAAAGACAAGGGAGATAACGGAAGCGGTTTTTATTTCCGAGTGTGACGAAGGTACATGTGTAAGTGCCCCATCGATGACCCTGTTTGAATCGGAGTTATCGTTTTTACGATCATGCACAGTGCACGAGTACGAAATGTGATAAGCGGCGGTTGGAACTGAATCGGATGTGTGTCTTGTTGGTTTCACGGTACGTTTGTTTTTCCAACATTAAACCAGTTGCAAGTAGCGCTCTGTGGTATGTGTCTCTTCTACTCGTCCGTCGCTTTCAGCGCTTTTAACCCCTAAACATCGTGTACCTCAAACAACGAAAGCAGACAGTGCCTTCACAATTATCCACTGCGTGAGCGAATGAATCTAACTCAATTTAAGTCGATGGAAAAAAATCAAAATTCATTTTGTATAGTATGGTACGAAGCCATTGTTTACCATTTGTGGGCCCTAAACTCGTCAAACAGAAAGTTGGAGACGAACGTTCGCGGAGCGAGCCGATTGAACGTCGGCGAATAAAGCGCGAAGTCAACGTCGGGGAAAGCCAATCGGCGCGGTCCGCCAACTTCGGCCCCAACTTTGTATTTTACGAGTTTAAAGGCCCCTAAGTGCCGATCCTGTTTTCCGTTTCACTTTAAGTACGACCGCAGCCGACGCTACGATCCGATTAAGCCAATCACGCAGCGCCAAAATGTGTCGTCACGGCGCTCGATGTCTTCATAGATTAACCTATTACCGACTGAACCAATTACACACACAAAAAAAGCGTAGGATCAAGGCGAATTCACTGTGCTCGTTTGGATTATGGTGAAGTCAGAAAGACGCCGAACTCTGACTGGCTCTGATTGAAGAATAGTGGGCCGACCTCAAAGCAAGCTGCCTTCAGGTCTACCCACTATCCTTCATTCAGAACTAATTCGAGCTCGGCGTCCTGTCGTGACCACAACCTCCGCACAAGAAGCATTTGAACTTGCACTCCGCATACGTAGTGCGTTTGTGTTGTTCAAATATCGAAGGAAGAACTGGAATTTTCAAAAAGTAGTTTTATTATGAATAAATATAGAGTTAACTAGTTTTGAACACAAGGTGAGAAATCCTCCGCCTATTAGACCAAATAAGAGAACGAAAGCATCATTGTAAAAATATTTGTTCCCTCCACCTTCCTCTATTTGCTTAATGGACAACCTGCAGAATCGTGTTCTGCCGGTTAGAAAACCGGTTCCCAGTTTTCTTCTTTCCATTCCCCCTCGCGTTTTCTCCACTCCTCTCCCCGCAGGAGCGGGTATTTGAGCTACTCACGGCACGAAGGAAGCTCTCCTTCTTTCTCATATAGAAAGGAGAAATGGAGCGAGAGTTTCTCCCTTTCTGGTTGTTCGTTGGCCTTTAGAGGGGAACTCACGTGCTTCTTGTAGAAGCTTGTTTTTGGTGGCACAATGTTTTTTTTTTTCTTTTAGTAAATAAAAAATACCAGTTCTCGAGTGCTAGATGGGAATACGTTTAAATACACTTACAGCATTAGAAAATCACGGGCACTAGTTTCTCTCGGGTCCAAACATCGGTACCCGCCATCTCCATAAAATTACACCTCTGAAAATTGTCAATAGCGTGGAGATTCCTAACATTAAGGGTCTATGCACAGCTGCGTTTGAGAGCACTTGATTGCGTTTTACTGCGTTTCGGCTGCGAGAAACTAGGATATTTCAGCTTCTTATATCGCTTGCCAAGTTATATATTCTTCGAACTGGATTCCCCGCTTTATACGAAGCACTGATGCGCCGGTGACTGGCTTTCCTTTCTCGACGCAACGCAGTCAAACGCACTCACACGCTCTCAAACACCACTGTGCGCACGGGCCTTTACTATTAGTGTTCTTTTTAGGCACGTCGTTCTTTATAATTTGACCAAAAACGTCAAATAGTTTGGTGTAGAAAACGTATTAAAGGAATAATTGTATAAAAACATCGTGCTACGTCACCCCTGGTGTCTGCTTTAAGGCGCAGAGAGAGGGGCATGTCACGATCTCTGATAAGATTTTAATAACGAAATCGGCCGTCCATCAGTATACTTTCGGGGTTTTTTAGGATGTTTAGAGCGCGCAGGATTGAGTTATCACCATAAATAGACAATCTCGGAATCCACCTGAGTGCCTCTTTAATGAGTTGTCCCAAATTGCTGGCATTATAGTCTGCGCAACTCCCGCCGAGCAGATATACTACGCACTGACGCGGCATTGGGTACAATACTTACTTGTCACCGAGGAGGTTGCAGTCGAGCACAGTGTCGTTGGCGTCCTGAAACACTTCGGCCAGCTTGTGACCGCCCAGGGGGACATCCGTGACGATTCGGTGGCGAACGCCGGGGATGGCACTGTAAATAATTATAAAGATCAAGTAGAAAGAAGCGTATTTTGGAGATGGGAAATTCCTGCGCAACCGTCTGATATGTGCGTTTTTTTTTTTGTCTTTTAATTTTAAGTATTTTATTTACCCCATGCTTGTTACTACAAATTAGAATTATTTTCCAGAGCCTCCTTTTTTATGTTTTGTTCAAGTTAACAAGTATTTCTTGCCAGAGCATTCTGTTTGATATCTGCCAACCCCCCCCCCCCCCCTCTCTCCCCCTCCTTTCATGCCTCATGTAAACAAAGTCGCATAGAATGTTCTTGGGGGCAATAAGCTTAAACATTACTCTGAGCACAGCGGACGTCAGCGTAGTAAAGGATAACGTGTCTTTTTTAGTCAGGCGAAAGATGAGAGCTCACGCCGCCGCAATATTTTCACCCAACTTGACCTCAACAAAAACCAATTTCAATCTGAAGTAGAAAAACCTATTACTTGAACCTTTGTCTTAGTGGCAACTAAACTGTATAATTAAAATACAAGTGACGTATTTTTAATGGATTGTCCAGTTCAAGGTTTCAAATGAGGCTGGCACGGTGTTTCATAAATGTACATTAGAGATAGACATACACTTTACTTGTATTCCCCTCCTTCTGTTCGAATGTTTCTGCTGTCCTCCTATGCTGTATCCTCTCAGAAAAAGATTCCTGCATACTACTCGTAATGGCGTAAAACAATCTTTGATTTTCTTTTAATCCACGAATGACGTGAGAAAAAACGAAGAGTACTAATCGCAGTTTTTTTGTCACGCCATTTTATTGAAAACAAAGTATCACCATATTTTGCAAATAAGGTTGCGTAGCTTTTGGAAGATTTAAATATATCATCCTTCTGACTCGTTGAGGTTTTTAAAACAAGCCCATGAATGGTGCTTTGACTATATCTGGTGGTAGTATACACGCAGAGGCTCCTAATTTAGTAAGGCGAATGTATATTAAGGCAAACCTGAGCATTCTACTCCTTTCTAGCTTTTTCGCTCTGACCTAAAACTAACTCAGAATAGCGAAGTTTGTCCCACTAAACCATTACTCCCGTATTCATCGTCTCGTCATTCTACCCTTTTCGTTTTCAACATATATACCCCACCGATCTTGTGTTCACAACTCTTAAAACTGATTAACTTATTCATAACCCTCGCCTAATCATGCTTGCGTTTAGTTTTGCGCTGCCGCAACATACGTATTTCATCAAACAATATTTAGTCACATATATTGCTGAAGTAATTCAACCTGTATTTATCACCACCTACAACGCTGCACTGCTGCTATCACAAATCCCTTTCGCCAGTACTGTCCTGTACGAAGTTCTTGCAATCTATTTGCAGAAAAGGGCAAGAACAACGTATCCACTCACTTTTTCTAATAAGTCACCATTGTACTACTTCCAACAATTAGGAATTTTGTGTCCTAATTGTTTAATTTAGGCGAAATGGTATTTATTTGACTGCGGGAAAAATTTTACTGGAACAAAATATTAAGTACTGATAATACACTTTATTACCTGAAAAAAATAATACATTATAAAAGGCCGAGCAAGGCGTCGCAACTGCTAAACTACTGCATGCAACAGTTTAAAACCCTCGATATTCCCAATTTAAAAACCAATACAGAACTAAGGTACAAAACATTGCGAACACATCTGATAAGAAATTGGCGTTGCAAAGTTGAAGGTGATGACCGGAACAACCTTTGAAGCACAAGCTTTGGAGCTCAATTTCAAATATAAAGTATTGAAGGCAAGCTCGTTATATCAGTCTATTCGGTGCAGCCTCCAAGACGGACTTGCCTTTCGGTGAACCGCCTTGCAATATCTCCAGAAGTGGTATTTGTCAGCTTCCCGAACGTCTGGTCCCAGGTCTGAGTGCCGATATTGACAGGATTCAGACTCGATCCCACGGAGCCTAGGGAACCCAGGGATCCCAAGGAGCCCAGTGGGTTAAAACCGCCGCGCTGTCCGTAGGTACTCTTAGCGGCGTAGGCCAGGAGGCACGCCGTCAGAAGCCACGTCCTTGTCATGGTGTAAAGGAGATCCTGCGAAGTCGGTTATAAAGTTAACTAGATGCCAGAAATTACGAACAACTGAATATTTTTAAAGAAGTGTCTACTAAAAGCTCCAGAGTGTCAGCTGACGATTCTTTTAACCGGCCCTGGAAAAACTTCAGATATCCAATGCGAGCTCCGACTTGGAGAGCATCCAGAGTTCCAGAATTAAGAAACAAGAGGGTAGTCAAAGCAGGTACGAGACTCGCGGAAAGTTTTTCTACAAATTACTCCTACCAGCTTTAACCACGTTCGTGTTTTGTTGATATTTAAGGTTAGAAAGCTATCGGCAAGTTGAAGCTGCTGGTTTAGATGGCTACACTTCTCGCTTTGGGCTTTGGGCGTTTATCCTTCCTTGATGACCGACCTACAATAGGGGCACATCAACACGTGTATATCCAAAATGCACTTAAAACATTAAAAGCTAGGTTAATAAACTTTGCTCAGCAAAAGATAAAAATCATAGCCGGATTTTTGTTTTTTTGGTAAATGCTTGTTTATATCTTCTTCTAAATTACAGCAAGTTTCGCAGACAATCTAGAGGTTAAAGAAAACAATATTTATCTACATCAAAACACGAAACAATCGTTGAGTTTATTCAAGAAACATAAGTGTGAAGCCTTCTAGAAATTTAACTCCTTGTATTCCGTTATTTTTACTTAAATTAAAGAACGTTAACATTTTATAAAGTCCTGAGTGATCTTAATGTTAATATTTTATTTTCATCAGTGACAGACGATTCTCTTCATACATAACCTGATGGCTAAAAAGATACAATATGCGATTTATACATTTTCAATAGGCTTCAAAAGCACTACATTCAATGTAATGGCCCGACATTAAACGCTATACAACTTTCAAAATGATCTACAGAGCAGTGAACTACAGGCAGGCTGTTCCTTAACTCTAAGAAATGCCTGCGCGTCTACTTACCCACAAAACACTCGAAGAGCCAATCTCAGCGATCTACGAAATCAGCTCAGCGAATGATCAGGCGGAGCATCCGTTTAGACATAAAATTAAGTCTGCGCTGTGGCATTACGCAGTGCAAAGGGACATGCTTGCATTGCGTAATGCCAAAGCGCAGACTTAATTTTGAGGTTAAACAGATGTTCCGCCTCATCATTCGCTGAGCTGATTTCGTAGATCGCTGAGATTGGCTCTTCGAGTGTTTTGCGGGTGAATAGACGCGCAGGAATCTCATAAGAGTGTTTGAACGGACCCCTAAAATCGGTTTCTTAACATATCGCAGAACGGTTTACTACATAGGGGCCCATATCACTCTACAAAAAGCCCGTGCGTCTTCTTTGCCGCACAACACTCGGAGAGCCAATCGCCGCAATTTACGGAGGCAGCTCAGCGAATGACAATGCCGAAACACAGGTTTAGACCAAAAAACGCAGTCCGAGTTCTGACATTAAGCAATGCAAGCGTGACGTTTTGCGTTGCTCAATGTCACAACTTGGACTGCGTTTTTTTTTTTTTTTTGTCTAATCATAAGTTTCGGCATCGCCATTTGCTGAGCTCCCTCCGTAAGTTGCCTTGGTCGACTCTCTGAGTGTTGTGCGAGAAAATAGACGCACGGGCGATTTTTAGAGTTTACACTCTACAAAAAGCCCGTGCGTCCGCTTTCCCGCACAATACTTGGAGAGCCAACACGGCTATTTACGAAGGCAGCTCGGCAAATGACGATGCCGAAACATATGTTTAGACCAAAAAACTCAGTCTGAGTTGTGACATTAAGCAATGCAAAACGTGACGCTTGCATTGCTTAATGTCAGAACTCAGACTGCGTTTTTTGGTCTAAACTTATTCTTCGGTATCGTCATTCGCTGAGCTGAGGAAGTAAGTTCCGGTGATTGGCTCTCAGAGTATTGTGCGGGAAAGTAGACGCACGGGCTTTTTTTAGAGTGTATGTGGTGCATTGAATATTTAAAAGTATAAAAATGTGAGCCCCCCAAAATCAAATAAAAAGAAGGCGTTTTCTACTAGAGAGAAATATTCAGCAATTCCTTTTTTCGCGCAACCATCAAACGCATACTTCCGTTGTTTTTAATCTATGTTTCATAGAGTAGAATAAAGGATGAGCGCTCTCAATTTCCTTAAATGCAAGTAGAATAATTTAAGCAAATTAGCATGATCGCTTAATAAGATGAACTCTTGAGCTATCATGCAAACGATAAGGTACCGCTTGTCTAGAGCGGGACGTTGTTTTTTGCTGAAGTTAGAAATCAACAAAAGCATGTCTAAAAAACCCTTTTTTTCATAAAACCAGCAATTACTTTTTTTTCTTTTTTTAATTCAGATGAGCTAAGCATAATGCATGTCCTTCAATTTAGGATCTGATCTCAAGCCCCGCTTGTAGCAGAAAGATTCGTCAACATAACAACAATATTGTAACAAGATACCCGCTGTTTCCTGTTGTTTCCTTCTTTATCAGTTGTTCCGGCAGCTCTAGCATGTGCCGACGTACATGTGTTTAAGCCGTTGCTCGGAATGTTTTGTTGCGTGCTGTCTGCGTAGCCGGAAATGTGCTGTCCGCATGGAAAGAGTTCCAAAGAATTTTAGATATAATCTCGAACACGCCTCCCGAGAGGCAGCATCGCCAATTTCTACCTGGAAAACACATGGCGCCAAATATTTAGAAACAGGAAACACTTTCGTCGAGTTAAGCGTGCATAACTCGTTTTTCTTTTTTAGTGTGATATTGTGTTGAGGGAGGGTTTATGTATTTAGTTCTTCTGCTCACAGCCGACTCACCATAATATTATCTCAAAGGCCTAGAAAATAAATGGACAAGTATTTAACAATTCATAATTATCATGTAATTAACAAAAACTATTAGATCTACCTACATTATTCAACCTTTCTCACTTAAACTTGTGCCTTTCAAATATATATAATGTTCCCCATGGTCCTTTTCACTCCGAGAAGTATTTATACTTCTGTTCTACATCACTCGTTATTTAAAATCCCAACCGCAAGTCTAAAGCTGTGAACTAAGAAAAATATCGCAATGTATTATATGTGCTACGCAACCTATTCATATATCTACAAAAAGTAATTGATTAATGATTCTTCCCACCGTTTCACTGACACAAAGCCTGGAACAACGATTCCGTCACTTCAAAAAACGATTAACCGTTGCGCAGCATGTCGCAAAGTAGTTCCAATATTGAATTCTTGCGACCTTACAACGCATTGGTCAACAAGAAAAAAGTTGAAACATTTGGTGCTCACTGACAAACTCCTTAAGGAAAAAGCAAAATCAAAAGTAACATATAATTTCGCGTTTCATTCACGAATTTGGTTAAGCACGTTAGTACTGATCTAAAAATATTTTTATGTCACTTAAAATGCCGTGGAGATATAATTTGCTAGAGAAATCGAAATATCAATATTTTTGTTAATAGAATTGTATAGATGTATAAGCCGCACTTAAAAAAATGTTCAGTTTAGGAAGCTCCTTATTAAAAAAAAATATTTGCAGTATGACACAGGGTGTGCTTTTTTATGTAAATTTGGTTTCTAAAGATATCTCATCGAATTATATCTATATGCTTAGTTTTGTTCATCTGCACATTTTGATTACGGTTCCGCTCTGAAATACTGTTAAATCAACACAGATCATTTTATGTGCATCCTTGTTTATGCATATATTCATATAAATAAGTCGCTTACGCATTCAGCCTATTTTTTTATATAGTATCATGAAGTAGACAAGATAAGTAAGTGCATCGTGCCTGAAAAAGAAAAATATGTCACTGAACTCGCGGATATTATATTTTTCTCCATTTAGTAGCAGCTTAAGGTTGGCCTACAGGTATAATAAGAGAAGAGTAGCACTTAAAAAAGTATCACGTCTGACACACATTTGTGAAAACAAAATGAAACTAAATAAGATATGATGCGCTCGTTTGATAAGAAGCGTGTTCAGAGGGTCGTTAAAGTTTACGTACGTAGGTAATCCTATATAATAATGGCGTGAATATTTTGTACCAGTGTGAGAGATTCTGTTACGGTTTAAATAATTAAACTTTGTAGGCAAGTACAATACGTCTGTAGCAAAGGTTATAACCTGGCTAGCACAGCATTTTGGCTAGCACTGGGCCTATATCTGCCAGTACCGGGAAATTGACGGCGGGGAATGGCCAATGGCGGCCAGGCTCCGCCGCCCAGCTCTCGGTACAGGGATACGTCGGCCCAGTGCTGCCAGACGTGCTGTGCTAGCTGAAAAATATATATTTTAAAATTATTTCCATTTTCTGGAAGTATTTGTTGGTGCGGATTCACATCTCAGGTAAATATAAAGGAGGAAGATTTGTTCTCTTTGTCGAGGTTGTAGGGGCAGTTCTGATATGTTTCGTGTTACTTCAATCGGTTGAATTACTGAGTCCGAACCAGGGTCTTAATAATATGAAGCATGCAAACTGCAGGGGTTTTGCATAAGCTCACCGTTAAACGCTGAAGGCATTAAGAAAAAACTTTTCTTTATAACCTACCACACCGTCAGCATATTATTATGTAGCTAATGCGTGGTTTTAATTAGCCACGACTCATTTTATTAAAGTCCAAGCAATTGGCGCATTCCTCCAATTCAACTAGAATATCTATATGTGACTCACTCCATGCCCTCTTCAGGCTTTATAACTTCAGTCAAGCAAGGTTAGTTACATGTCCAGCTGTAACGATAGAATAAAAAATACTTTTTTCCGCTGCCATGAACCAATGTCATTGGGTACCTTCTTACACATAATACAAGTTTTCATTTATTGAGCTCGTAATATTTTGGGGGTTGTCGAGTTTTATTGGATTTTTGAAGAGACGGCATTCCGACAAAATATCGGTAGCGAAACTTTTAATGTGCGCAAAAAACAATGTTTAGGATTACAAATCTTAAAGAATTCACACGACTGATAAAACGCGCACGTGATTCCCTTCAAGTTCTTTTGGGACTTCAAATTGCGTACTCGCATAAGTTGCCATTTGGTCATGTGTCTACCAACAAGCTTTGCTTGAAGTGGGAAGAGATCGAGGTCAACATGACAAAGAATACAACCTGGGAATAGCCGCTTCATGGCTTATTACGCCAGGCGTTTCCAATCTCATTTTCCTCGTTACTTTTAAATGCATCCCAAGATATAGGGAAGAACATTTTAACGCAAGCGAAAAATACGACTGGCTCAGGCAAAAAGAAACAAATCATAATGATTCAGTTGAATCATAATTACTCATAAATGCTTTGTTGCAACTAAAGCATGATGTTTTAGTTAAGTTGTTTTGTAATTGTATTTATATTTTATTATACTCTGCCAAAGAATCGCAGCGGAAACACACGATGATATGAGCGCAAATGTTATAATATTTTAACTATTTTTTACTTAATTAATTTTTTTTCGCTGTAGGAGTTGACTGTATATTATGCCATAATAGAAGTTAGCTTTCAAAAGGTTGTTTAACTGTATTGTTCGGCTTTAGTTAACAAAAGTTCCAGACATATTCAAGCTTGTCTCCCGGATCAGGGATTTGTTCTGGACAACAATTATTTACGGTTTCAATTGTCACGTTCAGGTAGAACGGAGATATATTTATAGATACTATTTAAAGAAATTTAATTCAATTCAATAATAAGTTTAGTACAAACGTTTACGCGTGGTTCTAAGTCATTAGATTAACTTTCTACAAAACAACCTGGAAAATTTAGAGAGACACCATCCACAAACTTAATATACTGACATTTCGGTTAAAAAAAAAGCAAAAAAAAATTGACAATCATGTTTTCATTTTACTATAGGTGGTTTACGTAAAGGCATTGCTATTCCTTGTGTCTACCTGCCAAAAAAAAATATAAATAATTCAAGTGCTTTTTTGTGGAAAACCTCTAGAGATAATTTAAGAAAAAGTGTCTGTCTAAATGCCGAAAATGTGATTGGCGTACTTGCGATATTTATACTACGCCAAAGTGTTCGTCAACGAGCACCCATGGCTTCTACGCTATCATATAAAATCAAGTCAACCCTTAGAAACAAACAAATAAATTATTACGCAAATAGTTTTAGTATTGTATTTATATCTAATTTTTATAATATTATTATATAATGTGGAGAAATCAAGGTTGGTTATACGGTTGCTAAAATCTTAATTTCAGCATTGTTATAATATAATAAAAATATATATTTCTTCTATAACTACCGAAAAAAGAAGACGTGTTATATATCTCTCTGTGAAAAACAAGCGACCACAAAAACGCCTCTTAAAAGCAAAGGCGAATTCTCACCTGAAGTCAATAAAAGTGCGAAACCCAGCTAAGGAAGCCCTTCGGGCAAGGCCCAAATAGGCATAGGTCACCCCCGCCCTCGCCCACTTTTCTTGGGAAAAATAAGCCGTGGGTCACTTTACCTCTGCCAGCAGCCTAGAACCTCCAAAGCAGCCTCTGGACACCTGAACTCCCTGACGTCGCTCTCGCCAAATCACCCGACAGCAGCGCACAGGAGCAGTAGATAACACACTCCTCGAAGAGGACGTCAAGCTTACTTCTGCTTACACTCTCTATCGTGTATTTCCCGGCGCATGCGCAACACGTGGCGACGCCTTAACGCACGCCGCGACACACACGCACTCGCGAATCACCCGTAGACACAAAATCTTTCCGCCCGAGTTGCTCAAAACTCCCGGACGGCCTTGTAGGCTGAGGTCCGCCACTAACGCCGCCGTCGCCGCCGCCACACGGATCATCGATGCGCCGTCGGAGCTTAGCGAGCCGACGACGAGCCACCTCCGAGACCAGTTTCACTTTCAAGGTTGCATATAAACGACGCGCCGTTTACCTCAAGTCGGCAAGACGGGAGCAGCGCGGCGGCTGGCCGCCGATGTGAGCTGCCGTCGGGTCGGAAATGACGATTGTGATCGTGATCCGCTCGGTTGTCCCTGGTGCTCCGGGAAAATCACCGACCATCGGAGATTTCTTTTGTGAGGTCGAGGTCGTCATACGCGCGTGTGGTTCGGTTACTAATCCTGAGGAGCTGGGATGACGTGTGCCTTTGACGTCTCAGTGGCACGTGACGAAATGCACACTCTCTAGTCTCTGAGTGTATACTGCCAAGGATTATACTTGGTACACCAGTGATTAGTTTTCGTTTAATATACCACTGGGAACATTAAGTGGCATCATAATCGATTCTGTTTCAACGCATTTAACTAAGGCCACCTACAATGATTTGAAATTTAAAAAAACGCGGGGTGTCGTTTATTATGTTTACGATTTTCGCCTCGCTATTCCTTTTTCGAGGTTCTTATCGTTTAATGCAACTATCTGACTGGCTGCAGAGTGATAATGAGGTGCTCGAAACTCGCCACTGACCCGTGAATTTTTTTTTTTCTTCAAAAATTAGGGGCTACAGATAGTCCGTTTCAATAACCGCCTCCTGCGCGCTGCCATCTTTGTCTATTAGGCTATGGATCCCGTTCTGAGCACGCGCAATAGCTCTCTTCCGCGTATATCTGACGCCGGACGTGCCTCCAAAGCCCAGTGACTCAGCCATTTTTCGAGTGGTTGAACAGCATAGGTGCTGACGAGTTGTGCTTACTCTCCCCCGTGAAGTGACTAGAATGCCTAGAGCGCTTCTCCGACTGGCGTGCTTAGCGTCCTATACCGCCCATCCATCAAAAAATTGCTCGCGAAGTGGCAACAAATGACGTCCTAAAAGCCGGAGTGTCATGCTTTCAGATGTCGCGATCCTGGCGGTTGGCACTAGAAGTACCGACAAAAAAAAAAATGAGCGAACGCGAGTGTCGCCTTCGTCGCCAGCGTCGCAACTACCGACTGCCGAAGCTTCCGCGGACTGTCGAGCTGAAGAGCAACCTGCAGCAGAACGGGCGTCTGCCACGTACACACCACAGCTGTTGGGACGCCGCCAGGATCGCTACCGGCGATATTATGACACTTGTGTGACGTCATCGGGTGGAAATCGAAGAAACACTTTTTTGGACGCGGTAAACACACCAGCCGGAGGCGCGTTTCCGGGCACCGCAGTCACGCTAAGGGCTCTATAATGTATCGAGCGGCTGTTGATTCGATCCCTCCCTCACAATTTTTATTATATTGGCGTGACCTTGTTGCTCTGCACTGTACGAAGTGCTAGTGTTAACGTTTAGTGCTGTTTTCAGCCTAGATGTGACGATTGGGATTGGGTAAGAAGCAGAAGAAGGCACGTGTTGTATATTTTTTTTAATTCGAGGCACTACTCTTGCATTTAAATGTAAACGTAGTGCCGTGTGAGTGTCGGGCGATCTTCTGGGGTTGAGCAGCAACGCTCGGGTCGAGCAGTCACGTGCGCTCACAGCGTTGAACTGCCACGAACCAACGTATAAGTGCGAAAAGATCTACAAGCGGTGTTGACATAGCGTGACGCTAAGCTATATGCCTCCGGTTTGACACTGATACTCAATGATAATTGGAGCACAGTACCGAACTTGACTTCTTGACCAGACAGAGTGAAAAGAACCTAATAATTGGTACGCTCTGAGCACCGGCCGCGGTTGAATTTACTCCCAGGAAATTTTGATTTTGTGCGGCAACAAATTGATCGTTACCAAATTTAAACCTGGAATTCGTCATTTTAGATATTTTGAAATATTGCTGCACACCCTACGCTGCAGGTTTTAAATGTGCTTCTCTGCTGGATGACACAAAGCTCTAAAAGAAACAGACGCGGCATAAAAATATGAAACCAAATAACTCAAACGCCAACCAAAACAAACAAACAAACAAACAAAAAAACTAGTTAATTATTTTATGTATTTGTTTTCGAGAAACAAATGTTTACTTCTGAGAAGCTCCGCAATAGGCAATACGCCGCGAAAGTTCGTCTCATCCTTGCGCACCTCGCGCGATTGTGTTACCCCCGACCTCAACCAATAGGGAGTTTTAGAATAGCGCACGCTAAAGCTTTGCGCTCGCAAAGATTAGCGTTGTCGCCACTGCGCATGCTCCGAACGCAAACCAGGTTTTGTGCTTTGCGTGCGCAATTTTAGCGTGCGCTATTTCTCGGAAATAGCGTGCGTACGCAAAGAGCCTTTGCGCTTCTCCAGTGAGGATTCATGATGAGAAGTAGGCTAAAGCCAAGACGAGCGGAGTTAAGCAAAAATGGCGCCTTCCGGGATTATGTCGGCGGCTGCTTTGGCGGCGTCGTGAGTGCAACGTCGGCGGCATCCTCGCGACTGCGATTTTCAATACGAGACGAAATTGTACTCGGTTCGGCAACGATCACCGGCAACATGATGCTTGCCACGCGCGAACACTTCTCGGCGAAGGTACGATGTGCGAAGGTCAGTACACGAGACCTCTCTTGCCGAGGCGACGCAAGCGGGCACGACCGGTCAACCGCTCGAGTCGCATTCTCGCGTTTAAACAAATCTAAAATGGTACTCTGGGCCAAAAAACTTGTTTCTTTCTAAAGTTACAGCATTTCGTGTGTGAAATAAAAATTGTGACTGTATCTTGGCGGCGTCACAAGCGCGAGATGCTTGGGCTTTTGCGTCGCGACGGAGAAACGCTATTCTAAAACTCTCTTGCGTCGCGGGCGCTAATACAAGCGCTAAATTTAGCGCTAGCGTGCGCTAAAATTGCGTACGTTATTCTAAAACTCCCAATGACGCAGTGAACCTGGCTGTGTTACCCCCAAACGCGTCATCTATGTTACCATTTGGTTGGCGGGCCCCTCTTTGTGTTCACATGCGCCAAATGCACTTTTTAGAACACTTCCTTGCACTATAGGTACAGCAATCGAAAAAACAAAAACCGAGAAAGGAAGAAAAAAAAGAAAAAAAAGATGTACGACAGGTATTTTTCTTCGGATCGTGGAGACCTTTTGTTTACTTTTTTCTCCTCAGTTTCTGGTTTTAGTATTTTTTTATCTTTCGCCAGCTGGCCTATCTATTACATTTTCTTCAGTAGGAACGGTTCGGCAATATGCTGTATACTTTTGTGCTTCCCTTTGCTTCTTCGGTAAATGTTGCCGATCGAGCGCCTTTTCAGTGATTGACTGACTACCAAAGGTCCGATAATTGGTGTACCGTGTGCATCACGGTGCAGTACACATGGGAAACCTCTGAGAGTATATAAATAACCGTGATTTGGCCCTCCATGCAGGCAAGTGGAATGTCGATCCTTGGTCATGTTTCACAGCAGAAATGGTCTGCAGTGCTTCGAAGGTTATAGAAGTGGCCGCGGAATTATGAATTACCCTAAGTTGCATAAATTAAGTTTCATAAATATCGTCCACACGGCTAAACAATTTTTTATTTAAAGAAGGAAAATATGTTTTGTCGCATTCTATGCCAGTGAACGTCATAGAAAAACAAATTACGATATTCATTTTCATTTTTTTTTTTTATTCTGCTGTGGCGATATCATTGCGATTCTGGAAGAAAAAATATGCACTGAAAAAGGCAAGAAATATATCGCGCAATATTGTGACGAACGATAAATTTTCCATCACTGCTATTCCCAAGCATCGCATTATCGCTACTCCGCAGTCAGTGAGATTACGACATTAACAATTATCAACACAAAAAAGCAATCCCAAAGCAAGAAGCGCGAAGATAATAGGCCTGTGTTCTCAAGCAATCAGTGAACAAAAAGCGATGAGCGCGTCCAAAAGCGTCGCTTTGGTCGGCATTCCCGATTGGCCAAACCCTACCTATCTGTAAACCTATAACGCCTGGCCAATCGCCGCTTTCGGGTGAGGCAAATCCTGCAAGTCACGGCGAGGGAAATCTTTGTCGGGACTTCACGAACGGAAACCGTAAAAGTGCGAGAACAAAATATCTTGGTGCTGCTAATATAGACCACTAGGCGCTATTTACGTACAAACAAGTCAACACCTGCCTACATTTTATGGGTGGGCGATGTGCGTGCCCAGAAACCAGAATTGTTTTAAAAGAAGCATCTGCGCATGCGCTGTGCCGACAGCAGCGCCACCACAGCGGTGTTACATCAGAAACGCGTGTTAGTATATAAAAGTGTTCACGAGAAAATTAGTTTCGAACACAAAGACACTATACAGTGACAAACGCTTCAGCCAAAGAGCTCTATAACAAATTGTCAATCTCCAAAATTTTGTTTGTTGTTGTTGTTTTCTTTTTACTTAGGTGCCAACTATGTATTCGGAGGCTTATATAGGAACATTTCTCTCAAAAACCATACTTTAGAAGTTACAGGCATTATATGGTATTTCGTGAGCTGTGTTGGCTGGCTGGTTAAAAAGATAAACGTGTAGTTGGTGAACAAGAAATTCTTGCGCAAACTAGCTAGTGTTGGTTGGACATATTTTAAGCCGTGTTAGAGACTTTGTGTTGTGTACGCCTTTAAGTGTAATCGATGTTTAGATTCGGAATGCAAACCTAATTACAAGTTCTCCTTCGTGCAGAATTTACCTTCAAAATTGTCAACGCGTCTACTTTCCTGCCAAACGCTGGGAGAGCCAATAAGTGCAGTCTCGGCAAATGACGAGGCTGTCGAGAGGGACACATAATAAATGTTGTATTGGGAGAAATTGGTGGTTTTTTAGACATTATAACCAAAGCGAGAAATTGAGAAAGAAACAGAAAACAAAACAAAAATAGTTTGAAGAAAAAAAAATTGGTCATTACATGTTTGAGTTTAAAACGAACATCCACAATGGGACACTGAGCAAAACGTTCTACTTAGAGCCGTAGTTCCTCCAACGGTTCCCCGTAGCTTGCATAGATCTATCCGTAGATAACCCGAGATACACTTTCTCAACGATCTGCACTAACGTGGTCACTCTCTTGCATACAGAAGCGTTTTCTATGTATATATGCATCTTTTTAATGCATACCCCCCCCCCCCCCCCCACAAAAAAAAACAAAAAA